CAGGCGGTGCGCCAGGTACTCCAGCGCGTACATCTGCTCCCCGGCCACGTAGTGGAAGGACACGGCCAGGTCCGAGCAGCTCGCCGGGCCCTGCGGGCGGGGGCACCGTGGGCGGGGCTGCCATGCTAATGAGTGGGCGGGGCTGGGGGAGGGTGKGGCTTGTAGGCAGATAGGGCGGGTGGAGCGCCGCTGTGCGGTGGGCGGGGCTAGGTCAGTGGGTGGGGCTTCTATGTAAATAGGGTGGGCGGGCCTTGGTGCTGCGTGGAGGGGGTGCAGTGGAGACGCGGTGGGTGGTGTTTACTCCATGGGCGGGGCTTCTATGCAAATGTGGGTGGGACTGGGTGGGTGGGGCTCATATGCAAATAGGGTGGGTGGAGGGAACAGTGGGCATGTGGTGGGTGGTGCTGGCTCAGAGGGCGGGGTTCTATGCAAATAGGCTGCAGCTCTAGGTGGTGCCTGTATGCAAATGGAGTGGGCGGGGCTGAGCACTAGGTGTGGGGGGGTGCAGTGTGCAGGTATTGGCTGGTGCTGGCTCTACGGGCAGGGTTTTATGCAAATAGGGTGGGMGGGGCTTGGTGTTGGCTGGAGGCAGAGCAGTGGACAGATAGTGGGTGGGGTTTGTATGCAAATAAGGTGGGCAGGGCTTAACAGGAGGCGGCACTGGATTGCTGGGCATTCCTCACCGCTATGGGTGGGTGCGGCGTGCATGCAAATGAAGTGGGCGGGGCCAACCGTCTGGGTACCGCTTGGCGCAGGTGTCTATCGGGCAGGAGCTGGGGGTGGGCGGAGCTTGGGGCGGGGTCTGGCGGGAGGGCGGGGCCAGGGGTTAAGCAGCAGGTGGGGGCAGGCGGGCAGTGCGGGACTCACCGGGAGCACCGGGTAGTAGGAATACTGCGGGTAGAAGCGGTCGCGGAGCAGCGGCTCCGTGAGGTGCCGCTCGGGCGGGAAGGCGTGGAAGGTCTCGCGGCCCTGCGTGTCCCGCGAGTCGCCCGCCTCCACGCCCACCTTCTCCATGCACTGCCCCAGCGCCACGTCCTCCACGGAGCNCCCCCCGGCCCCACAGCCCGGGGTGAGCGCTGGATTAACCCCGCGCCGGCTTAACCCGCAGCGCACAGGGCCAGAGCCGGCGGCCACCAGAGCCCCACCAGGACAGTGACACTGTGGCGGGGGACAGAGCCACCGGGCAAGCAGGACATTCCCCCAGCAGGGACAGGGGGACACCACGGCCATGCATAAGGACAACCCGGCCACCAGTGTGGCGGCTGGAGCTGCCCACGGGGCAAGGACAGCGCCGTGGGGTGACGTGGCCGGCGGGCGCGGCGTGGTGGCCACGGGCCCCGGCGCGTGCCCCGTACCTCCACGATGGGGTAGTAGCAGTAGTTCCAGTACCAGAAGCTCTTGGTGAACTTCTCGGTGAGGTGGGACTCGGGCGGGAAGGGGTGGAAGGTCTCGCGGCCCTGCGTGTCCCGCGAGTCGCCCGCCTCCACGCCCACCTTCTCCATGCACTGCCCCAGCGCCACGTCCTCCACGGAGCTCGTGTGCGTGCACGTGCCGGCGGCGAAGGCGGCCACGAAGCGCCGCAGGGCCTCCCTGCTGAGCACGTAGCCCGCGCCGCCGCTCATGTAGCCCTGGCGCACGAAGGGCCGGAAGCGCTTGCCGAAGTAGATGGGGCGCTCGGGGCTGTAGGCGGCCAGCAGCCAGCGCAGGTTGGCCACCAGCACGAAGGTGTCGTCGTCCGCCTTGAGGAACCAGTCGGCCTGGCCCAGGTGGTGCCGGTGCACGTACTGGAAGGCGCGGATGGTTTTCCAGTAGAGCTGCTCGCGGCCCTCGCGCGCGCGCAGCCCCACGGCCGGGAAGCGCTCGTCGCGCCGCGAGCTCATGAACAGGGCCACGTTGCAGTGGCGGCTCCACGTGGCCCGCACGTGGCGCGCCTTGGTGGCCAGGTTGYGCGGCGCCGTCATCACCCAGCACAGCACGCGCACGCGCCGCGACAGCTCCTCCGCCTCGCTGCTGTTCACTGCAGCGGGGACATGGGGTGGCGTCAGCACGGGGCGGGGGACGTGGCGGGCCCGTGGGTGCACCCTGCACCCCGGCATCCCAGCTCACGTGGAACCGGGCACCGCTGCTGCATCCCCAGGCAGCCCCCCCAGAGGGGACCCAGGCGTCCGGGCAGCCCCCCGCTCCGTCTCACCTGTGCGGGGGGGCAGGCGGTGTCGGGCTGCAAGGCGCAGGGGGGCCGGGGGGGTCGGGGGCACCAGGGCCTGGCGCAGGCTGTGCAGCAGGGCCCCCCCCAGGAGCAGCCCCATGGCAAAGCCCAGGGGGAAGGAGGGCACCCGCGAGTGCCGGGTGCACATGGGTGACACTGCAGGGGCCGAGGGGACATGGGTGACACGCAGGTATGATCTGTTCCCCCACTTGGCCTTTGGCAGGAGGGACCCAGCCCCACGGAGCTTCCCAGCTGCCCCTCTTTGGAGGACCCCCCCAAACCCACCAGTTCTGCCCCCAGTGTGAGCCCCGCTCTGCGCCCTCCAAATGCCACCAGCTCCTTCCCCACGGAGGGGAGCCCCCTCCCACCCTGGCTCCCCTGCTTCCTACCGCGGCCAGGTGACCCCCCTGCTCCAAAACCCACAACATCTCGGGTGAGACCCCCCCGGCCACCACGCCCCTGTGCTGACCCCCCCACCCCGACCAGTTCCCGCCATGTGGCATCCCTGTCCCCTCCTTGCCAAGCCACCATGTCCCGTCATGTGACACCTCCACCCAGCCACCCAAGCCACCACCCCCCTGTCCCAGCGTGACCCCCTCATCCCCTTCCCAAAGTCACCAGCCTTCCCCATGTGTCCCCTCTCCGGGATTAGGGACACGCGGCTCCGGCACGGAGCCAAAGCTCATTACAGGCACTAATTAGGGCCAAGGGGGGAGGACACGGCGAGGCGGGGGGTGATGCAGAGCAGTCACAGCGTGGCCACTGTCCCCAGCCCCCCCGGCGCTGTCCCCCCCCCGGGGAAGCGGGGGGTCCGAACCGGTACCTGCCGCGGCCCCGCTGCTCGGTCCCGTCCGGCGCCGCGGCGGGGCCGCCCCGGTCCTGCCCAGCCCCGGGGCGGGGGCAGCGCGGCCCGGCCCCGGGGGTGGGGGCAGCCGTGTCCCTCCCCGGGGGCGGGGGGGGCGATGGGACCCAGCGGGGCAGCCAGATGTGCCCAAAAGGGGGACCCCGCTGTGCCCCACGGGAGGGGTCCCTGTTGTGACTGACCCACGGGGGGACCCGACGGCTGGTGACCTCACGGTGGCGGCASGCCGGGTGTCACCACGGGCCGGCGCTGGCAGGTCCCTGCAGGCCACACGGTGCCACCTGGCCCGGTCCCCACCCCGCTGGGTACACGGACGCGCCCAGACAAGGAAACAGCCGGGACGTCCCGGGCAAAGGGCCTTTATTGCGGGAGGCTGGGCAGGATGTGGCACGTGGCGGGGGGGCGCGTGSCTGGCGTCCCCCCTGCCCCGGCACCCTGCAAAGTCCCCCTGTGCAGGGGGACATTCCCTGTCATCCATGGGGCAGCAGCATGGGACGCGCCACAGGCAGGTTTGGCCCTGAAAGAGCCACTGTGGCCACCGAAAGAGCAGCCGTGGCCACCAAGCCCTGTGAACTGGTGGCTGAGGCTGCTCCGTTCGTGGCTAAGGTGGCTATGGCCACCAAGAGAGCAGCCTCGGCCACCAAAAGAGCAGCCTTGGCTGCTAAAAATACAGCCACGGGCGCCAAAATGTTGTTCTCAGCCACAAAAGAGCAGCCGTGACCACTAAAAGCATAGCTGGAGCCACCAAAATTGCGGCTTTAGCCACAAAGTGCAGCCTTGACTACCAAAAGAGCAGCACCTGCCAGCAGGGAGTAGCCTCAGGCTTCCAAGCGGGCAGACTCAGCTGCTGAGAGAGCGGCCATGGCCACCAAATCGGTGGCTTTGGCCACCAAAAGTGCAGCCTCAACCACACCAATAGCAGTCTCGTCCGCCCGAAACGTGGCACAAGCGCCAAGACGGCGGCTGCGGCCACCGAAAGGGCAGCCTGGGCTACCGGAGGGGCAGCGCCGGGGYGGGCTAGGGCAGGGTGGCGTTGGGGGGCGCGGGCGGGCGGTAGCGGGGCCGGTAGCCGTAGGGGCGCAGGCGGTGCGCCAGGTACTCCAGCGCGTACATCTGCTCCCCGGCCACGTAGTGGAAGGACACGGCCAGGTCCGAGCAGCACTGGGGGCCCTGGGGGCGGCGGGGGAGCAGGGGGAGGTCGGACCCCTCTGTCGCAGCCCATCACCGTGGCCTCTGGCCAYGTCCCGCCCCGTGTAGGTCCCCACTGACCCCAGCCCCATGCCTGCATCGCCCAGCCCGTCACCGTGGCCTCCGGCCGGGTCCATCCCAGCGGCCGCGTCGGGGGGCGGCAGCTCCCAGACCTCCTCCAAGGCAACTCCCGCTGCCCAGCCCCACCAGCGCCCCCAGCCCCGCGTGGCCGGGAGCCCCTGGACCCCCAACCCTCCATCCTGCCAGGACCAGAGAGCCCCAAAGCCCCCGCCCCGGGCCCAGCCCCTCAGCCGCCCCCAGGGCCCCCCGGCCCCACAGCCCGGGGTGAGCGCTGGATTAACCCCGCGCCGGCTTAACCCGCAGCGCACAGGGCCAGAGCCGGCGGCCACCAGAGCCCCACCAGGACAGTGACACTGTGGCGGGGGACAGAGCCACCGGGCAAGCAGGACATTCCCCCAGCAGGGACAGGGGGACACCACGGCCATGCATAAGGACAACCCGGCCACCAGTGTGGCGGCTGGAGCTGCCCACGGGGCAAGGACAGCGCCGTGGGGTGACGTGGCCGGCGGGCGCGGCGTGGTGGCCACGGGCCCCGGCGCGTGCCCCGTACCTCCACGATGGGGTAGTAGCAGTAGTTCCAGTACCAGAAGCTCTTGGTGAACTTCTCGGTGAGGTGGGACTCGGGCGGGAAGGGGTGGAAGGTCTCGCGGCCCTGCGTGTCCCGCGAGTCGCCCGCCTCCACGCCCACCTTCTCCATGCACTGCCCCAGCGCCACGTCCTCCACGGAGC